GAGGAGACCGAGACCGAGACCGAGACCGAGACCGAGACCGAGGAGACCGAGACCGAGACCAAGACCGAGGAGACCGAGACCGAGACCGCGGAGACTTACCATTTGATTGAATAGAGTCGATAAAGTCTGTTGGGTTGATGATAGCAGTTGGTTCATTAGTGGAGAATTGAACCTGCAATAAAAAAACCAAAAGGTTAGAAAACATCTTTTAAAATGTTTGAGAAAGGATACATACAGCCTGATAGATACTTGATATGAGCTTACTTACGTTTGATTGACTAGAGTCGATAAAGTCGGTTGGGCTGATGATAGCAGTGGGTTTAGTAGTGGAGAATTGAACCTGAAATAAAAAAACAAAAGGTTAGAAAACATCTTTTAAAATGTTTGAGAAAGGATACATACAGCCTGATAGATACTTGATATGAGCTTACTTACGTTTGATTGAGTAGAGTCGATAAAGTCGGTTGGGCTGATGATAGCAGTGGGTTTAGTAGTGGAGAATTGAACCTGCAATAAAAAAAACAAAAGGTTAGAAAACATCTTTTCAAATGTTTGAGAAAGGATACATACAGCCTGATAGATACTTGATATGAGCTTACTTACGTTTGATTGACTAGAGTCGATAAAGTCGGTTGGGCTGATGATAGCTGTGGGTTTAGTAGTGGAGAATTGAACCTGAAATAAAAAAAACAAAAGGTTAGAAAACATCTTTTAAAATGTTTGAGAAAGGATACATACAGCCTGATAGATACTTGATATGAGCTTACTGTTTGATTGACTAGAGTCGATAAAGTCTGTTGGGTTGATGATAGCAGTTGGTTCATTAGTGGAGAATTGAACCTGCAATAAAAAAAACAAAGTTAGAATACATCTTTTAGAGAAGGTTATCAGTGTGGAACTTCTTCAGATTAGTGACGGTTGAATTAGAAGGATCTCAAAAAAAAAGAACATTAGTTATGTACATGGATGAATACATAATTGATGATGTATCATTAATTGATAAAATAAATCAAATATATACCAAGTTTTCATACATTACTTGATAATTCCACTTCCTACAGTTTTCTTCAATTTGTACATTATGTGTTGATGTGACTTAGTCCGAATACTCAGAAATAAAATGTAATAATGTCACAACGGTTTACAATTCGCACTTGGATGTACAGAAAACAAATTTATGAATTGAAAGCAGTGATAAAAAGTGTAATAAATGATAATTACACATTGCATTATTTTAAATGATTCAAATGATTACATGATTATTGATTAAAAATAGAATAGATGGTTATTTTGTTAGTATTTGTTAGTGTTATTAAAACTAGAACTAAGCATGCACTGTAATATATTAATCCATACGAAAGCTACCATGCAGCAATCATTCGAATCATGAAATGCAAAGTCTTATTAAATTTGATATTTAATTCAATGATTAATTTTTTTTTTAACATTTTTTTTTGATTATCTAGGGTTTCTTAATTTTTTATATAAATCAAGTAAAATATTTAAAGCGCCGCATTCATCCAAAGTGCGATGACGTCGATGGCAAATTCAAATCTGCTGAGTGTTAAAAGGACATCAATGTAATTGCAAATCGATGATAAATGTACTTATTAACAAAATTCAATCAATAAAACTTATTGGTATTTTAACTTACTTTTAATAATCTTCAGTATATTTTTCAGACAGCCTCAGAATGCTTCAGACATCTTTGGAATATTTACTAAATGCTCGATATTTTATGAGACATGTCGCTTTTTCATTTGATGGCCACCAATCAAAATCACTTCTACTGCATTCTAAAGTATTTGAAGAAATATAAAAACATTGTAAACTGTCTGAAAGTAGACAAAAAAAATAACCCAAACAACTAGACCGATTGTTATGCAAATCTAATCAACATACCTTAAAGCAATATGACACTCAAACCTAGTTATTGTGTTAATGAATGAGTTTCCTCAGATTATTAACTTCAACCAATGAACACTAGATTTGTCAGGGTCCGACTGATTTCAATTGCAAAATTATTTCCAAAGCAGCTTCATTTTGCTTTCCAATACGAATAAAAACATTGGTCTGAACCTATAAAATATAGAAAGAAGTATTAAATTGGAATGAACATCATTATAAATGCATTATTAAAATGATGCCGATGCTCAATATAAGAAATAGTAATATTTTTGTACTTCGGATACAATCTTCCATGATAAAATTTAAAACTTTAAAACAGACTGTATGATTAACAGACTCCACCTTTCTACATATAAGGTTTTTCTGATTTATCAAAGTGAAATAGCATAATGAAATAAAATTTATGCCTTAATATTGAAGAATAAAAATAATTGTCTTTCAATAAGAAATTAAAATTTAAAAAATAATTAGAATAAAAAATGGAATGTTGTGGATGGCTAAATGCTCCATGTAAGCGTGGCTAATAATAATCTAAAAAAAACCTCTATCTCGAATAAATAATAATCCAATAAATATTAAGGCTTCTTGTTCAATAAGTTTTACCATCTATACCTACTACGATAAAAATAAAGATAAATAGAATTCATTATCAGTTTTAAATAAAATCATCCCAAAAAATTAATGCACATACAAAATTATCAAATGACAATTGTATCAATCATTATTTCTTTATACTTAATAAAAAAAAATCAAAATGCTTCGTATGAAATAAGCACGAGTGAGAAATCTTACACAGGTACAACCTAAGCCGTGAAATATTAAAACTTCTGATAAAACTTTAAACAAATTGTACTGTTCAATGATAACTAAACTATTTGAGAGTAATGATAAAGCAACCAAGTCTAATAAAAAGTAACAACTTTACAAAATGCTCACTTTCTAAATTATGTTTCATAAAGTCTTCCAGATTTCAAATTGTAAAGCTTAGCTTAGTCAACTAAATAGTTTCATATGATATTTGAAATCAATCAGATGGATTGACTTGAGTAACATTACTCGACATAAATCGAGCACATGGTTAGTTGACAATTAAATTTCAAAAAACACTAAATTATGTTTCACAAAGTCGTCTAGGATTCTAAATGTCAGCTAAGTCGACTAAATAGTTTAATATTATATTTAAAATTATCGGACAAGATACAGCTAGGGCACAAGATGAGTGATGGATCGAGTTGTGTAACATTACCCAAAAAAAATCAAGCACATGGTTAGTTAAACTATAAAAAGCATTTTGATTACATAATATCTTTGCTTTAAAATTCTTGAAAATGTAGTGATTGTATTCAAATGGAGTCTCCACGGACCCCTTTGTCAATTCTCCTGATCTAAAAATAAGATTGCGTAAGCATAAAGCAATGGCATTTTTTATTGAACGCTGATTTTATAGTAATATAACTTGGAAAATATTCTCGCCCGAAACATAAAGACACGAGGAATGATTTCAATCCCAATCTCCGATGTAATGATGTAATGTTCTAGCCCGGCAAGTCCCAAAAGAAAGAATGAATTTTTTGGCGGCTTTTTCCGAAATGAACCATAGATATATGCGAAAATGTGCTACTGCAGAGTGTGCGAGTAAATAAAATAAAAATTGATTAAATAAAATAAAAATCGTTTAAATAAAATAGTCAAATAGTTTCAAATTTAAAATAAATAGTCAAATAGTTTCAAATTTAAAATAAATAGTCAAATAGTTTCAAATTTAAAATAAATTGTCTGATAGTTTCAAATTTAAAATAAATAGTCAAATAGTTTCAAATTTATAATAAATAGTCATTGTTTTAAAAAAAAACATAGAAATTGTTTAAAAAAAATTATCAAAAAATATTGTAAATCATCAGAACATGCTTTAAATCTGAAAATGTTTACAAATAGTCAGAAAATGTTAACAAAAAATAGAAACTGTTTAAAAGTGTCAAAATATAGTATTTTGTCAGAAAATATTGTGAATTGCTAGAAAATATAAATGTATAGAAATGTGAATGTTATAAAAATCAAACTAAAATAAAATAAAATCTCTATTTTAACTGCATTTCAACATTTTAAAATCAATTAAAAAATCCTAATATTAACTAATTACTATACGACAAAACAATAAGATCGACAAGGCAACATTTCTTCGAATTACATATCGAGGTTTATATATGGGGCATCACGTAAAAGTCAGAGAAATAGAATTATAGCTAAAAAATGGAACATCGAACCAGATGTTACCAAATCCCAACATCTTATCGTTTCATTGAGAAGCCACACAAAGCCTGCCAATAAAAAATCTAATAATGCAAACTAAATTAGAAAATGTATATAAATAGATTTAAAACTGAAGGACCTGAACTGGCTCGTCCAAATTTTCATTACAAAATAAGCTTCTCGATGTTAATTCCAATATTGAAACAATATTTGTATAATTTAGAAAGCCCAAAACAAAATACTGAGAATGATTTGCAGCATTTGATGGGTTTATATAATCCACGAAAACCTAAAAATTCCCAATAGAAGTCATTGGTTGATTGTTCGAGAGAAATTGGATGCATATGTCAATCCCAGTCAGTCAAAAAACTAAAGGGCCTGAAGAGAAAATGGCTCAGTGATCAGAAGCTTAATGTTTCAAGACAAATTGGATGCATATGTCAATCCCAAACAGTCAAAAATTAGCATACTTTAGAAAAAATGGATGCATGTATGTGGGTCAAAAATGTTAATGTTTTTAAAAAAAAATAATTTTTGGTAGTGGAAGCTCCAGCAATTTGCTTTAAGGAACGATGCCGTGCGCCCCACTAGTTTTATTTCGATTTTCAACATCTTTACTTGTAACTTACAGGTTATGTTATAAAAATATAACCCATAAGTATATATATAACCTATAGGTATTAAAAAAATCTGAATTGGAAATCGATGCATCAAAATTGACTACTAAATCACAAGCAAAAATCAGCACGAACCCATAAAACTCCTTCGTAACAAAAATTTGGAGAAATGCAAAAAAAATGTCTATATACTAAAAGTCTATTACCATACCTTTCAATTACCACCCGATCCGCCGCTACAACTTTTAAAACAAAATTAAATTGTAAAAATGCGTAAATTTTTAAATTTGTTTGTCATTAGTAGATTCAATGGTTGCATTTTTTGGTTTTTAGCTTTATTCTATTAAAAGTTACCTCAATTGCTAGATATTGCTATGTACCGTTAAAATGTCCATGAAATTATTAATAAATCTGCGTATAAAAATTTGTAACTGTTGGAACAAAATTATATGAAAATAATTCGCTAAACTTTTAAATTAACATATTTGTAAAGGGTCTATGTTGTTTTAGCCCCAACGCTTTGGTTTAATTTGTATTTTGTTATAATTTTATTAAATATATTAAAATCGTTAAATTTCAATAAAAAGCTAAAAAAATATCGGTTATCAACGCAAAGGGGGTTTAAAAAGATAAATACAGATTCAACAAATTTTCTGAGGTCAACATTCTTTTTCTTATGTAAAATAATCGGGTTTTTGGCATTGAAAGTATGGTTTAAATTAATGACATGTTCCGAGAGCATTGTCTTAAACTGATTATCATTTTTTGAATTGCAAATGTGTTGGTTCATTCTCTTGTAAATAATGTATTTTATTCTTTAATTATTTTAAATATAAAATTGAATTTATTTTTTAAATTCTGTAAATGTTCTTTTAGATACTGTTTAACAAAATTTGCTAAATAATGACACACAATCCGTGTCGAAACGTATATTATAAATAAATATTTTTAATTATTTGTTTTTTTTTATTTCGACGATTGGCTGAAAATCAATATTTAAGATATGTCTCAACGTCGAACAAAAAAATCTAATTATATATATATATATATATATATATATATATATATATATATATATATTATAATATTGTATGTCTGTCATTTGAATATAACGGCCAAGAGTGTCTATCCTGACGTGTATGTGCTCTATGGTGTGTCATATGTAGAGTGTCTGATCCCTTACGGAACAGAAGTATGTATCTGTGTGCGAGTCGGAGTCTGGCGGTAACTTGGGTGTTGAACAGTTCGGCGTTGTGTTAATTTGGTGGATTATTAAATGTATTTGTATGAAGTAAAAGGTGTTTTATTAATAAATTAATGCTAGAATAAAGCTAGCTTAAAGCTCAGAAGTGGGATAATTACCGAGATAATTACCGATAATTACGGAGATAATTAGTATGTGATTTTTAGTTAAAGTTGTTATTGGAATAGGTGATTCCAATAATTACGAGTGCGTGTATTATTAATCAGGTGGGTTAATAATTACGAGGGTTGTGATAGCAAGCAGGTGTGCGACGCTATCAGACCAAGTGTGGTGTTTGTTTTTGGTGTTTTGTGTTGGTTTCGGCGAAAAGTATAAAAGTTAGGTTAGCACGTGGCTGACTAAGGTGAACAGTATAGTGAAAATATTGTGAGCAAGGCGTGCTAGCAATATTATTTAGTTAAGGTGCAGTAACAGTTGTGTGGAGAAATGCAGGATTGTGGAGAAATTTAAAGATTAAAAATAAAATGGCTACAGGAGTTAATAAAGAAATCATGGCGTCGGAAGCTCTGAGACTGCTTTCATTGACAGATCTTATAAATTTAATCAGATCTACAAATAGCGATAAAGTTGAGGATATAACGAGTAGTGAATTGTTGGCGATGCTGCCAGAATTTGGAGGTTCGGCGGAACAATGTGTGAATTCGTTTTTCAAGCGTATAGAAGCCGTTCGCGATACGTACGACGTGACCAAAAGGAAGATGGCGGTGTTAATGATATCCAAATTGACAGGAGCTGCTAAGTCGTGGTTTTTTAGTAAAGCAGAATACGCCACTTATACCTACGACGAAATTAAGAGGGCGATGACAGCTTTCTTTCAGAACAGCGAAGATCGCATGACGAGGATGAGAAAGTTCGAGGCCCGGAGATGGCAGAGGCAGGAACCCTTTAGCTCCTACATCCAGGAGAAGATGGCGCTGGGCAACAGGGCGGATGTTACCGAAGGCGACATGTTGGCATACATGATCGATGGGTTTGACAACCCGCTACTTCAGGCCCAGGCAAAAATGAATGGTTTCCAGGATTTGGGTACGCTATTGAGC